GGAAGATGGAGAGAGGAGGAGGAAGGGGAGATGAAAAGAGAGAGGGGGGGATGAAGTAAGAAGGAGGGGAGGGTAAAGGAGGAGGACAAGAGGAAGAGGGGATGAAGAGGGAAGAGAAGGGGATGAAGGAAGATGGGGAAGTGCATTGAGAGGAAGGCTGGGGAGGAGGAAGAGGAGGAGGGGAGGAAGGCCGGGCACCTCGGAGAGCACCGTGCCAGCACCGCGGACAGCGCCGGGCCCTGCGGGACCCCCCGGCGCTGCCGGAGCCCCCCGGCCCGGGCGGCAGCCCCTGCCCCGTGCGGCCCTAGGCAGCGCGGTGCCCCCGGCGCTCCCCACTCGTCCCTGTGCCACCCCTTGCGGTGTCACAGGGTGGCGGGACAGTGACAGGGCCCCCACGCACAGCCCCGCACGCCCCMCACACACACGGACACCCACACAGGTCCCCTTGCACCCACGGAGCAGGGCTGGCACCCTGCAGCAGCCGGGGGCCAGGGAAGGGCTGCCCAAACCGGGCACCGGCCCCTGTCCTGCCGCAGAGGCTGGTTGGACCCTCGGGGTGCGGGACGGGGTGCCCTGCGCAGGACGGTCACCCCGGGCAGGTCGGGGTGCCCCGGGCAGGGCTGCCCATGCCCTGCGGCCACCCGCTCGCCTCAGCACCTGCGCGGGGTCAGGGCTGCTCGACACGAGCAACGTGTCTCTGCAGCCCTAAGGACTCAGCTTTGCAAGGGAGGCGTTTCCCCTAGCCCCGCATCCCTCTGAAGGGCCGGGATTGAGCAGCGATGCTGCCACGGGAGCAACGTGGCCTCTCCAAAGGCCCCAGCAGGAGCAAAAGCAGCAGCGGGGCAACCACAGGCGGATGAAGCTGCTCTCCCAGCCCAGAGGTGCCACCAGGATCTCTCAGGTGCTCAACAGGCACCTGTGGGGTCTCAGCCTCGAGCACTCGGTGTCACCAAGGTCCCTACCTGCACTCTGCTCTCCCTGCACTTGCAGACACAAAGATGTCCTGGCCGGAGGGAACCCCCGCAAGCAGATCTCTTCTGCAGGGCATCAGGCTGGCACGGAGGCAGCCTGCAGCCAACAAAGGTATTTGTTCACTCTGAAACCTACTGACAACAACTGGAGTTGGAGCACCTTTCCTCTAGCACACATCCGGAAGAACGGTGCCTCCCCGGAGCTGAGCAGGGAACTGGTRCAGCCCAGGGACCTCCCTCCTGGTACCTGCCCATGGGCCCTGCCAGGCGTGTTCCTGCCAAGCACTTCCCAGCATTAGTCCTGCCAGGGCTGCAGCTCCGACTCCAATCTGGGGAACAGCCTCCGGTTAATGATTCTGTGCCCTCTGGGCCCTGGCCAGCGTGACTCAGCAAGCAGCAGCCCAAGGCCCAACACCAGGCGCAGGCCTGGGGGGCAGCCCTGGCCTCGGCCCCACCAGGGGCAGCTCGGAGGCTGCCGGGAGGGCAGGGGGCACCGCGGTGTCCCCAGGCCCTCAGCCTTGGCCCAGCGCGCGGGACACCTCTGGCTCACCAGGCATGGAGAAGTCCAAGGGTGGGAAGGCTGGGAATCACACAGAATCACAGGATGGTTGAGGTTGGAAGGTACCTGTAGGGATCATCTAGTCCGACCTCCTGCTCCAGCAGAGACACCCAGAGCGGCATCCAGGCGGGTTTGGAGACTTCCACAGAAGGAGCCTCCACAGCCTCCCCAGGCAGCCTGTGCCAGGGCTCCGTCACCCTCACAGGAACGACGTTCTTCCTCACACGCAGATGGACCTTCCTGTGTTGYAACTTCCACCCACTGCCCCTCGTCGTGTGAGCGGCCGCCCCGCCGTGCGGGCAAAGCCCGGGCAGAGCCGAGCTCCGGGGCGCTGCCACCAGGGCACGGGCACCAACAACCAGCACCCGGCTCTGCGCCCTCGCCCCAAGGAGGCCCGTGGGGCAGCCCCACTGCAGGGACCCCCAGCGCCCCTTCCCGGGCACAGCCCCACGGCGCGCAGCACCCGCCGGCCTCTGCCCTCGGCGTGCCCGGCGCCGCAGCCCCCGGGGCAGCCCGGGCACCACACACAGGGGGGGACAGGGCGGCGACAGCGGCACACGGGGGCGTTATTTAGCAATGTTCTTTTATTTCCAGTTTTTAAGGTGAAAAGATGCCTTTAAATCTTCAATTAAATACTCCATAAAGAAAAGAAAAAAAAAAAAAGCAAAAAAAAAAAATTATTTACAAATTCACGTGACCAGTAATTGAATCCTTGTTTTAATAATTACACGTGCGGCTCGTCACATCCGGCGCTCTATAAATACAGGGGACACGGATGCGGGGCCGCCCCGTCGCTTGCCCAATTGTGGCCTTAAACGTTTGGGGGAGGAATGAGGTTGTCGAGGGGAGGACAGAGACTTGGCCTGGCCCCCCAGAGAAGGGGTCACCCCCCCCCACCCCGGCACCCTCCCCAGGTGTCAGGGCAGGAGCTGGGGGGGATGATTCGTTTAAAATAAAAAACTGGGGCAGGGAGGGGGGGTCCAGGCAGTGATGGGGGAATAGAGGACAGGGGAGGGGGAGAAATCACGCTCCTGTCCCCAAACCAAATTTAATAAGTTTATATATATATATAATCTTTCTATATTTCAGCAAGTGGGGAGGAGGAAGAAGAGGGGGGAGAGGAGGGGAGCGACTGTCCCCATCCTGTCCCCTCTCCCCACAACACGAGTCTAAGGGCTCTCTGCCCCCCTCCTGGTGACCTGGGGTCCCTGCACTGGGAGGGGGGAGAGGAGGGGCCCAGAGCGGACCCACAGCGACAGCCGCCTCCATCAGCATCCGTTTATTATCATCGTGACAAACTAGTACAGGCCTCGCAAACAAAACCGGGACGGGGGGAAGAGGGGAGAGAGAGAAATAAAGAAA